AAAGGTTTCAACATACCAGCAGTTGATGAGGAATATATAGTGGCTATCGTAAGGAAAAATGTATATCATACATTTAGGTTTGGTAGGGACTAAGTTGTATGTGGTGTTGATGAGCAGATCTGCTGTGATCCTGACTACTAGATCAGGTGTGGCCTCGACCACCAAGTTTGATGTTTTGGTGAGGTCTTGTTGAGGTCTTATGTAGTCTTAAAGATAAGATCTAATGTAGTTCTGACCAGGTCTGGCTTAGTCATTGGGATGTTTGGTCTCGCCTCGTTCACCATTATCTCAGGCATGCACTGTTTTCTAGTGATTTTATGTTGATGGGTGATACCAATGATAAAATAATAATTTAAATAATATCATGCTAAAATAACTGCAAATTAGGAATGATAAATTTGTTATTGTAACACTAAATTCACATCTTACGTGAGGAAGATAAGCAACATAAAGATAGAATAAGCAAGGAAGAACCTGATCATGCCACATGAGTACTCATCCCACCTCGTGCACAATACTGACACTTACTTGTTCCTATACACATGTCTTGAGAATCCCCGGGACCCACAGGACTGGAGGAAGACTCCCCGGACCCATAGGACTGGAGGACCCACAGTACTGGACCCTCAGTACTGGGCCCCACAAGACTGGGCCCCACAGGACTGGAGGAAGACTCCCCGGACCCATAGGACTGGAGGACCCATAGTACTGGACCCTCAGTACTGGGCCCCACAAGACTGGGCCCCACAGGACTGGAGGAAGCTGGTTATATACAACTGGTCTGTCCAAACTCTACATTGCTGTTACTTCCTTCCGGGGTTCTACATTTCATATCTTTTGTTTGTGGAAATTAGCCACGGCTTATTTTTTTTTTTCTGTATATTTTTTTTCTCGATTGTCATAGAAACTCATTTATATAAACAAAGACATTTTTTAAAACATTAATGAATTTAATGGTTGCACACAGAGCTAGAATTTGTTTGTATGTATGTATTCATGTTGGTATACATGTGTGTATGTCGGTATACGTGTGTGTGCATATGTATTATCACATGTTGAGGAACTAAATGCTGAAGCAAGAATTTAATACTAGTATTTCCTAATGAAATGCTCCTAGTGTAGAATTTTCTAAATTATTTGTATGTAGAATTAAATTCAACCTTTAAGATATTTTAATTATTATTGTTACTATTGTTACATTAACCAAAAATTACTAAATTAGATATGAACTGTAGTAATATATGTGTAGCTAGAGTCTAAAATCTACTGTTATATATATTTGTTTTATGAGTTTATGAACGTATATCTTAATCTTATATATTTATAAAATCCTTTTTCTCGGGAACTGTTAATTTTTAAAGGGGTGGAGGGGTAAGCCAGTTGAAGGCCTCGGTCAGATGACTAAAAGTTCCAGCTGTGGGTCATTATCCAAGACCCGCGTCAGGAAACACTTGTCTTGTTTCCTGACAAACATTACCTAACCTCATACACGTTAATGTAAAATAATCTTGATAAGCAAGGACTAAATAATGCATCTTAAGCAAGAACAAGGAAGAAAATTATATTACTTTTAGATATATCTTTTTAATAACTTTTTCCCAGCAAAACTGGTATGAACAAATAATGTTGAAATACTTACAGATTTTATGATAATCGCTAAAAGTAATTATATTCTCTGTATGGTAATATTTTTAATTATCTCGTTTTGGACTTGTTAGCAATTTAATTAAAAATTATTTATACAAAAATATTGTAACATTTGTAGGTTTTTTTAAGTGGCATGATCAGGAAAATTAATGAAAACAGTAATTAAATTTGATTAAGCTTTTTAATTTTTGTTGAAATATAATAACATTGTTGCACTCAGACACTGTCAACAAAACAGAATGTTAAAAATAATAATAAAAACAATGGCTAATAAAAATGAAAGAAAGAGATTATGATAAATATTAAGAATTAATTATAACATAATAATAGAAATGGTTATGAGAATGATATTAATATCATTATATTCCTAGTAAATACATTGAAACTCAGTACAATATTGTATATTAAACACTGAAGTTGTCAACTACGACAGCGCAAAATTTAATTCCACAATTAGCACACAAGTATTATTGCATGGAATATCCTAATATATAATATATATATATATATATATATATATATATATATATATATATATATATATCAACAGCACTGCGACTAGCCAAGGGCTCGAACCCATGTCGTTTTGGCCCGCCTCATGGTGAGCGAAAAATCACGTGACACACTAACCCACAGGACCACCAAATGGTCTTGAGGGTTAGAGCGTCATGTGATTTTCGCTCACATGAGGCGGGCCGAAACGACATGGGTTCGAGTCCTTGGCTAGTCGCAGTGTGCGAGAAAGTAACACAAATGCAAAGAAAATCTCTATAGGGGTCGTATAAGGCATTCCTTGTGTTGTAATCAGTATTGTGTAGGTCAAACAGGTAGAGTTTGAGAAATATTAGCACAATTTTTAATACAAGAGGAAGTCAAGAAAGATATTCACTGATTCAACTGAAAGAACAACGGTATGTGACCCTTGTGGGTTTAGCGCTTAGTTTTGATTATAATCAACTGAAAGAAATATTCATTAATGTTTTATTCAGGTATTTTTTTGAGAACTTATTCATGACATATAGTTACTTGAAGTATGAATCAGTAATCAAAACTTAAGATATATTTATTTTTTGCGTATATATTTTGTAGAGTGACCCGAGTGCTTATTCGTCCATGGAAGATATATTCCTGTGAAATCAGACATTATGCTTGACTCACGAAATCGTAATGACACGATTACAAACTACGGTACGATTGGGATTAGAACTCATGGCGAGTCATAAAACTCCAGTGCGTAAGCACTTGCCATGAGTTCTAACCCCACCTGTACTGTAGTTCATTATGCTTGATTTTATTTTCGTTTTCACCCTCTAACACTATTTATTTCTTCAAACATGTAATCAAACTTCTACCTGTTCGACCTGTGAAAAATAAGACTCATGCGATGAACGGATTATACGCAGTTTCAGTATTTGGGCTATTTTTAATAAATATGTATTTTTACTGGGTTCTTGTAAGTAAAAGCTACATTAACATAAGTGTCTTTAGTGGGTGAACTACATCTATGTAGGTCCTGTTGAAAGATAATATTAGGTTCCTATCTACATCAGCTTTTGTTACTAAATATTTTCTTATTGTTGTGACAGTGAGATCATCTGACTATTTGAGGTTTTTACCTCTCCACAATAAGTGTCAGGGGTCCAAGACTGTTCAGCTGCCTCCCAGCATACATAAGGGGGATTATCAATAGACCTCTGGCTGTCTTCAAAGAGGGAGTTGAACAGACACCTGAAGTCAGTATCTGACCAACCAAGCTATGGCTCGTACGTTGGTGTGCGTGTGACCAACAGTAACAGCTTGGTTCATCAGGCTCTGATCCACCAAGAGGCCAGGTCATGGACCGGGGCGCGGGGGCGTTGACCCCCGAAACACCATCCTGGTATACTCCCAGAACTGGGTGTTGGGTTATTACAGGTGAAGCATTTCAATTACACGAGGGTCATTAAAGACCCTATTTAACATTTGCACCACCAGTCAAGGATAATTTAATCCTTATGAATATATATATATATATATATATATATATATAATATATATATATATATATATATATATATATATATATATATATATATATATATATATACACCTCATGGCATGTACACTGAATATTCTGGATTATATTATGTATTTGCTTTTAGTAACATGAATGCACATACATATACTTTGATGTAATAGTTGAAATAACAGTGGACATACATATATATTATACAGTATTTATTTATTTTTCCATAAACCACTTCATATGGGCTGCCTTCAACAGTTTCGGTATCTGATATGGGCAGCCTATTGTCACCTTATTTCAAATTAATAGGAACTAAATTGTCCAGACTAGTCAAGAACACATTACTATCAAAAGCTGATGGCCAAAAAGTATTGTATTCTTATCTATTGTATAACCCTATTTTTTTATTTTAACGATACTAAATTTTTTATTCAAAATATTCCATATAATGATCAGCTTACACAGGGAAGAACGAACTCCCCATTGACCAGTCCAAGATTCTCTTTAGTCTATATTAAAATAATATGAATGTTTTCTTCGTTTATAATACACTGCGGGTAGTCGGAGGATCGAACCCGTGTTGTTTTAACTCGCCTCATGCCAGCAAAAATTCACGACGCTCTGAACAACTCGACCTTAACACTCCTACACACAACTTCAGCCTAGCGAACTAGACTTGCTTCAACTTGTATGGACATACCATGGTGTGGTTGCCTCAGAGCTCATTTCATTCTGCTCCCACTCAATACCACTTGTTAAGTAAAAGGACACAAGTGCAACTAATGTAACATTTTATTGTGGCAACGTTTCGCTCTCCAGGAGCTTTGTCAAGCCGTAACGGCTTGACAAATCTCCTGGAGAGCGAAACGTTGCCACAATAAAATGTCACATTAGTTGCACTTGTGTCCTTTTACTTTACATATTGTCGGTAATTCTACCAGCATTATTACAATACCACTTGTTCGTGGTTACAATAATAGGTGTATTGCTTGTGGAGGCTAATACTCCAAACGGGGAGTAGAATGAAATTAACTTTGAGGCAACCACACCATCATATGTTTTCGCAACTTGAAGCAAGCCTAGTTTGCTAGGCTCAAGTTGTTTGTAGGATTGTATGGTCCAGTTGAGCATCGTGAATTTTCGCTCGCATGAAGCGGGCTAAAACAAACATGGGTTCGATCCTCCGGCTAGCCGCAGTGTTGTTATTGATTAAATATCACTTGTTTGTGGTTACAGTAATTATATATATATATATATATATTATATATATATATATATATATATATATATATATATATATATATATATATATATATATATATATATATATAATGTGTGTGTGTGTGTGTGTGCCGAATAGGCAGAACTTGCGATCTTGGCTTAAATAGCAACGCTCATCTTGCCATATAGGACAAGTGAAAATTTGTGTATGCAATAATTTCGCCAAAATCATTCTGAACCTAACGAAAAAAATATATTTCACTGTGTTTGTTTACTGTTAAATTATTGTAAAGAAATCTAAAATATATTTAGTTGGGTTAGGCTAAAATAAATTGTTCTTGTTATAATAAGGTTAGGTAAGTTTTCTAAGTTCCTTTTGGTGCAAAATTATAAATTTTTACATCAACATTAATGAAAAAAAATATCTTTAAACGTATAAGAGAAAATTTTAGAAAGGACTTAATTTTAAATGAGTTCTTGCTAATTGACCAGTTTTACATATTCGGCACGACATATATATATATATATATATATATATATATATATATATATATATACACACACACACATACACACACACACACAGTCATCAATAATATGAAAAATACTTCTGGACTATAAGGGACATTGAATAACATTGAAAAATTGATATGTTAAATTTAATATCTGCTTCTCTTCAACCTGTTTTAAATACAGGGAAAATTAGCTAGATTTTGGTCATCATAATTTGTTTTTATAAGTTTCAAAGGCCCTAGTTTTAGTAGTAGTACTACATCAAAAATTTTTGAGATACGTTAGTCTCTGATGGAGCCTAGTTAAGCTACTCGGGCTGACAAGTGTGCCTATTAAGGTAATCGATGTTCCCAACTGTAATATACATCTGTACATTTTATTAGTGTGTATTGTAACAAGGCATACTCATACACTACAGCAGAAAAAGCCTTGATAATGCAAAGGAAAAGTTTTGTTTTTAGTCTATTACTGTACTCTCGTTTTTTGTAATAATACGTAACACTGGTCTCTCTATTATTTACCATTTTTATGTTTTATGACAGGCTTGATATTCTGTGAGCTAATGAAGGTGTTGCTGTACCTTACTCTGTGTACATAGCGTAGCAGCCTTCCATCTTCAACAATCACTTGGAAGTTAGGATGGCATTTTGTCTCCAACCAGGGAGGATGCGAGTGGCTGCTCTGTCTCCATTAACATAGCTTCACACTCATACTTAGTAGTGAATGGACTTAGTGTTTGTCCAGTTTTGTCTGATTTGGAGTTTGATTGTCTTGTTGGTCCCTATACACTGCATTTTTATCCTTTGACTTAAATTGTAACCGCCACACACACGACTGTGTGTCGTATGTTTGTGAGAGTATACTTGTTAGTCTTAAGATTTTTGTATAATGTATATTTCATAACATTAATCTGTCGGTTAACTTACATTTGGCATATGGGACGTAAATTTATAATTGACTTTTTTATATAGGTTAATATTCTTGCACAAGTTGGATTTATTCAGTAATATAGATGTATATTACATTTTCTGTTTATCAGATCCCTAGCCTGGTGAATAAGAGTTTTGGTTTAAAATCGTAAAATTGCTTGCCTGCAACAGGCTCTGGTTTGGAAATAGAGGCAAGCATGTTGCACACCAACTGTCTGACAGCTGGTGAAGCCACAACACATCGGGTAAGGGTGGTGGTGGTTTAACCATAACTGAACATTATGTAGAAAGAACACTGTTAGCTACCAACACCTGGAATGAAGGGTAGTGTTTGCTTGGGTAAAAATGTTTGGATCCGGTAAGAGTGTGAAGCTTAACCAACGGGTGTCAGGTTCAGCTCACAGACCCACGGCGACTGGAGCTCTCCAATGATGCCTCCAGGCGAATAATCTCCTGAACACCATCGAACATCTCCTGCAGAGCCTCAATCTCCGTCAATCCGAGACGCCGCCGATTTGAAATGTCGAAGGTGAAGTCCTTAGTTTCCGAATGTTCTCCTGAGGTGCCACGAACCTGCAGGTTGTATTTGTTGGCCGTGGATTCCAAACGATGAGTGTCGCGACCCAAGCGAGGCAGACGAATGTGGACTGAAGCTCGGATCGCTGAACCTAAGTTGGTGGGGCAGAAGTTGAGGAACCCAAGACGCTGGGAGAAGCTGAAGGGAAGGCGGTCTCCGAGGGTTGTGACAGCACGGACGAAGCGGTCATACACCTGGCCGAGGTCTGCGCCTTCCTGCATGGAAATGATGCGCATGTGGTCTTCCTCGTTAACCCACACCACCAGCGTATTGTCAGAGTTAAGGAAAATGCCACGGCCGTTCGCCCAGAAGCGGCAGGCTCCAGCAGCTTCCAGGAACCGGTCACCTTGCTTGAAGAGCAGGTGAGCTTCCAGCAGCTCCTCTTGCTCTTGCGGAGACAGCTTGCTTATCGGCCTGTAGTAGCCTGCAAGGTCCCCGTCCAAGTTATCCAGGGCCCTCTCTATGTCCTGCTCCAGCTCAGTGTACTGCTCGTTGGTCAGGAGTGGGTTGAATGGGTATCCCTCCAGTGAGCGGGCACACCGCACCCGCGTCGACACCACGTATTTGCCCTCGTCAACGAGGCTGCCCAGGGAATTTGAAAAGCCGAAGTCAATTCCAGGGTGCATGTCACTTGGACCAAACCCGCCATGGTACTCGTCAATCACTGGGTCGAATAGGTCACTAAATATGGTATAGGACTCTGCGTCAGGAGCATAGATCCCTATGTTAGAGTCTGGATTAGCCAGTCCGGACTTTATGACGTCCAAGAGATTGGCTCCGTTAGGGGTAACACGACGTTTGAGTTTCTCGAAGACGTCAGGAGTGAGATACTTCTTCAGCATCGAGTGGCTCTGCATAGCTTTCAGCTTCTTGTATTCCTGTTCGATTTTCTCCAGTGTCTCCTGGTCGACTGTCTCCCCGCCGTCCTCTTCCCCGCCGTAGACACTGAAGCCTGCTGTAGGACAACCCAGAGTGGAGGGAGATCACACACGTTATTACTACTTGAAGGCTCAGGAAAGGAAGTGCGCCACTACATAATATGAAAGGGAGCATCGAGTAATTCCTCGTGCTTCAGTGGGGTAACATTCATGCATCTTACTGGAGGAAGAGAAACACGCATACATCTCGTCCCACTGGAGAGGGGGTGTGATGCACTCCGGAGAACCTTGGAGCTGGAGTATGACCCACCTCAGGCGTGCAATTTGAGGCTTCTTCTGCCATCACTGCGCACACGATCATGCATCATCAACACCTATGGTGACAAACACAACGACGAGAACAACATATAAGGTACATGCATGGGTACAGAGTGGTGGGGGAAACACAAAATAGTCAAGGTGAGGTTAACACACGCACAAATAGGTGACACAGGTGAGGTGTTAAACAATAGACGAATTATGGGCGTGAGTGTTGGGATTGATGGGCGTGAGTGCTGGGACTGATGGAGTGACATTGTTCCCCTATGTTAGTTACCGGTGTGAAGTATCATAAACCATACCCCCGGCCGGGATTAAACCCGCGGTCATAGAGTCTCAAAACTCCATCATTGCTGGTGTTACACGGGTGTTGGTGGGTGCGTACATGAGTGGCTGGAAAATGTGTAGGTTTGAGGGGCTGTGCTCGGGGAAATGCAATTTAAAGGCAGTTGTAATGAGAGAGAGAAAGTGGACACAAAAATAACATTATTGAGAATCTGACTGCAATAACAGAACAGTGGAAAACATTCACTCAGGATAAGTGATGACACTAGAAAACATCGTACTGGACGACTGATGATACTTAATAAGACTGACATTAATAAAGAGGAAAACATCACCAAACTGAGAGTTTAAAACTATATATTTTTTAAATACACACACACACACACACACACACATATATATATATATATATATATATATATATATATATATATATATATATATATATATATATATATATATATATATATATATATATACTTATAACTCCTACATACAACTAAAAATTTTTAAATCCTTCAGATGCTGCAAAGAAAATTATTGACGATTTTTTTTTGAGATATAAATTATTAGCATCTTCGAATATTATGATTTAAAATTGTTTCTTCTTGATACTCTGGTACTCTCCCGGCCCGGGTCTTTTTCAGAGTGATCATGTGCGTATGTGATCATGTGCGTATGTGTTCATGTGCGTATGTGATCATGTATGTGTTCATGTGCGTATGTGATCATGTGCGTATGTGATCATGTGCGTATGTGATCATGTGCGTATCTAATCATGTGTTCATGTGCGTATATGATCATGTATGTGTTCATGTGCGTATGTGCTCATGTATATGTGTTCATGTGTGTGTTCATGTAGGTTCGTAAGGTTCAAGTTACATCATCATTCTTGCATTCCAGGAAAGCTCTAAACGCGTACGTCAAACATCGCCTGAGGGGTGAAAGGTAATCCTCCTTGATCCAAGGGTAGGGCAGCTCCTCCTCCTTGGAACAAGAGCCCTTCATCAAACACCAGTCAGCACTTGGAGTTTCTTTGATAATGATGAGGGCTCTTAATCCAAGGAATTAGAGATGTGCTCCCCTTCCTCGGATTGAACCTGATTGCCTTACATTTCCCCATGCGTTGTATGATCATTACGTATTATACAGTGGAATACAAGCAGTGTTAAAATACTAACATTATTATTATCATTATTATTATTTATTATTAATTATTATTACTGTAGTTGTTGATAATGTTTTTCAAACACATCAATAATCTCAGCATAAGGTTCAGGATTACATGGAATTAGGGATGTGCCAAAGTATCGGTATCGGCCATTTTTACGGTATCGGTATCGGTTAAAAAAAGCAGCCGATACCAGGTGATACTTTTTAAAATATTAATATTACATGTGTGATTAAAAGTATCAACATTAATACTCTAACGAATGTGAGGGTTACTTACACACACACAGGTAGGGTATGTGTAACCCTCAAATTCGTGAGGCGAGTATACACACTATCAACAAGTACCTTTACCAAGCAGTAACACAAGAGACCAAGTAATGAGTAATAACATTATCAACTCAGAGAAATTAATTTATTTAATATTTAACCTTCCTGTCTTATTTAATATCCACTGTGTAATAAACATTCCCTTATATATTGAACACTGTTATTATGTTAAAAATAAATAATATAGGAAAAGTGTCGGTACTGGTATCGGCCGAAAACTGGGTATCAGTATTGGCAAAAATTTTGTTATCGTCCTATCCCTACTTTAAAAATATCTGGAACAGGTGAAGCTGATAGTAATATACAACTCTGCGTCAAACAACAGGAGACTTAGTCAAGTATATAGCAGAACAATCCGTATGTTAAATGTAATAAGCTTTTATGCCGCGTTACGGTTGATGCCTGTAACAACGCAGGAAGGAAAACAAGACTGATTCAAAACATGATCCTGGAAAATTTCACACACAAGTATATAAAGTGGAAGAATTGGAACTCCTACTATGGGGCACCTGAAGGATAAAAACTATTGGAATCAGCTAAGAGTAGATGTCTTCTATGGGATTACAAACTTTTCATTGTTATCAATAACTCTGAAGAGTTGTTCGTCCAGGATAACCCAGCAAAGCCAGTCAGTGTACCTTAATTCCATTGGAGATCCTTCTGTTCTCTCTCTACAAACATGATACGCACAAAAAGTCGACTACCACCCAGGTATCTGTTTACTTCTAGATGAAGAGAGGGCTTCCTCAGTCATTGGACTGTAAGCGGATAATCTACTGAACCCGAAGAAGACTCACTGAGCCCTTGTCACAGGGTACCCCTACCATTTGGCTGTAAACGGTACATAACTTTTGCAAACTCTGCCACTCATTCGGGAGCCACTGCCGGGTCACCCCGGCCAAGACCCATCCTGGCAAAGCTACCTGAACATGAGTAAGTTTAAAGAGACGTGCCCACGTGCCTCGTCTCCCAGATAATTGAACCCAAATCATCGTGTTTTTCAACAAATGAGTATGCCACTGAGCACTCAAGAATGAAGGGAGATGATCCGGCTAGGCTAGAGCGAGTGGTCTTTCAAAATGAGGCAGGTATAGGAGGGATTACTCAGGGAGCTACCTTAAGAGTAACCACAGTAGTGCTAACACGCAGGCAGAGGGAGAGAGAGAGAGATAGGAGACCTAGAGGCTAACACATAGACAAAGGAACTTTGACAGAGGGAGTTCCTACTTGGGAAAACAATAAAGCACTATCATGTGAAATTATAAAACACACACACAGCCAGGAACTATGAATCGACCCCTGCAACCACAAATAGGCGAGTACACACATCCAGACACATAAATAATTAGAACTCAGAAACATACAAACAAGTACAAACACATGCTAAACACACTCCCAAACACGCACAAATACACTGACACTAGCAATCTCTCACGAGTGTTCAGCTGTAAGACAGTAATACCACAACATGCACTTAAGTGCCTCACTATGCACTCATCCCAGCACCTTTAAAAGTCTGGTTTCGTGCATTTTTGGACTTGAATGATGGTCTTGCGGAGTGCAACACAAGTGTAAGTGCATGACACACCACATGCTGCTCTAAGCATATTTGTGAGTGAAGATTTTTGACACAGGTTTCTGTCATAAGATGACCCGTTCAGTGATGCCAGGACTCTGTCGGGCACCGCAAGACTGTGTCTCATGGCACGTGAAGGTGGGTTAGCCCGGTGGTCCATGGTGGCCCAGGGCAGCAGTGATCACTGGCTCACCCGTGCCGGACTCAGTGGTTTATGGTGGACCACGGCATTGACCGCTGGCTTACCCGTGCTGTACTCAGTTTTTTAGTGGACCACGGCATCATTGACCACTGACTTACTCGTGCTGGACTCAGTGGTTTATAGTGGACCACGGCATCATTAACCACTTGCTTACATATGGTGGACTCAGTGGTTTATAGTGAACCACGCAATCATTGACCACTGGCCTACTCGTGCTGGACGTAGTGGTCTATAGTGGACTACGGCAGCAATGACCTTTGCTGCTGGTCGTATGAAGTCTTCCCAGTGTCAGACCATCACAGCACAAGACTTTTACATCAATTATTACTTGCAAATGATTATGAATATCCTGTAGAGTGTTTGTTGGAGGAAGATGAGATTAGAGAGTCCGGGAAACTCAAGAGGAACACTTATTGCCTGAGAGGTGGCCACGAGAAGCCCGCTGATTGGTTGTGAAGTGAGCTCCTAACGTTCTCTGATTGGCTGATGCAAGACCCAACGAAAAGAGCTGATTCACTGGCGTTGTGATTGGCTGCTGGAACCATAATCCCATTCTCCTCCTCTCTGGCACATGGCGAATTATTTTCTCTCTCTTTCTCTTGTTATACTGATTCTCTGGCATTTCTCTCTCCTTCTTTCCTCCCTTCGACTGCAGTTTCACCCGCTGCTCTCTCTTCTCCCTTTCTGGTTTCACTGCTTCACACACACTTATATTTACTGCGTTCTCCACTTCTCCTTTTCTCAGCAGTTCTTTCTCCACCATCATTCGTCTGGGGTACTTGCGTTTATTCCGTTTTCTTTGCTTATTCTTTTTTCTTCGTTTACTGTGTCTCACTTTAGTGGTTCTTCGTCTCTTTCTTTGCTTATTCTTCTGTCTAATCTTCTTCATCTTTCTCCTCTTCCTTTTACGCTTGTTTCGTTTGGTAGCGTTTTTGTTTGTTTGTCTCTGTTTTTGGCATTTGGTTGTCGCAATTTTCCTGGTTTCCTTGTTTTTGTTTTCTTCCAGTTTTCTTTTACTTGTTTGGTTGCTTTGTCCACTCTTATATGTCTCCCATTTATTATTATTCGCTCTTGTTTTCTTGTTTCTAATGTTTTTTTCGAATGTTCGTGCCTGTGTTTTACACTCTTTCGTTTTCTTGTATCCTCTGTGTTTTCCTCTTATTGTCTTTATTGTTTCTTTATTATTAACTTTATTG